TCTATTTTGGGTTTTTGTTCATTTTGGGGTTTTCTCCCCGCAGTGTTTGGTTCCTACACAGATGTGACCCCGCGGCAATTCTTCAATGTGCAGGTGAGGGACCCGGACCCTGTGGGATTTGGATGGGATTTGGGATTCCGTGGCATTTGGGGTTGGATTTGGGGTGGGATTGGGGCAGGATTTTGGGATTCTGCGGGATTTGGGGCCACATTTGGGATTCCGTGAGATTGGGGCCGCATTTGGGATTCTTTGCCATTTGGGGTGGGATTTGGAGCCACATTTGGAATTAAGTGGGATTTGGGGTGGGATTTGGGATTCCTTGGCATTTGGGGTGGGATTTGGGGCAGGATTTGGGTGGGATCCTGCTCCAGGAGCCCCTTCCCAAAGCAAAGAATTCCTGATTCCTGCTGGATTTTGGGGTGAAAAGCAGCATTTTTGGGATTTCCCCGATCCCGAGCGTGGATTTGGGGTGAAAAGCTGTGTTTTTGAGATTTTCCTGATCCCAATCACGGTTTTGGGGTGGAACACGCTGCTGTTGGGGTTTTCCCCGATCCCGATCGCAGTTTTTGGGGTGAAACGCACTGTTTTGGGGTTTTCCCCGATCCCGAGTGTGGTTTTGGGGTGAAACACAGCGTTTTTGGGGTTTTTCCCCGCTGCCCCCCCAGCTGGACACCGAGTACCGCAAGCAGTGGGACTCACTGGTGATCAAACTGGACGTGATCGAGCGCGACCCGGCCACGGGGTCCGAGGTGATCCACTGGGTGACACAGTTCCCGGTGAGTGACCCTAAAATGGGATTTGGGATTGGGTTTGGGATCGGGATTGGGATCAGGATCCACTGGGTGACACAGTTCCCAGTGAGTGACCCTAAAACATTTGGGATCTGAGATTGGGGAATCCTGATGGGATTGGGATCAGGATTGGGATCCACTGGGTGACGCAGCTCCTGGTGAGTGACACCAAAAAAAATGGGATTGGGATTGGGGAATCCTGATGGGATTGGGGAATCCTGATGGGATTGGGGAATCCTGATGGGATTGGGACTGGGATCCACTGGGTGATGCAGCTCCTGGTGAGTGACCCCAAAAGGGATTTGGGATCCACTGGGTCACAGTTCCCCGTGAGTGAATTTGGGATCAGGGATTGGGATCCACTGGGTCACCCC